CCCCGACACTGTTCCTCCTCTGTCCTCCACCAACAACCCTTCAAATCAATTCTCTCTTTAACCACCCACCCCACAACACCTATTACTACTACTTCTATCACTTAACCCATACCCAGAAAAATCAAGAGAGAGAAACACAGCACAAGCATACAAAAACCTAAAATTTTTAACTGAAAAAAAAAAAAAATACAAAACAAAAGATCCCTAGTGGTTGTGTAGTTCTCTCTCACCTCTCTCCCAAATTGAGAACACAATTAATTGAAGCAGAATTCATTGTCGCGGATTGGAGTATTTTAGTAATTAATTATTTATATTTATAGTTGTGTGTAGAGAGGGTTGTTTGGTTGGAGATCGAGGTACTGTTCTTGATATGGATTTTCGAAGGACAGAAGCAGTAGAGGAGGCAGAAGAATGGCGGGTTTATTCTCACTAGGAGGTAGAGGGAACAACAACAACAACGAAGAGGAAATTCCTCCCCCTCCTGATACCCTATACTGGTATAACAACAAGAATGATGATGTTTCTTCTTATCACCGAGGAGGTGGCTTTGAGCTATGGAACCAACAGCAGTTACAACAGCAACAACAACACTTTATGGGTCAGGGTCCTCCACAACCACGGCCTCTCTTTCACCAAGATCTATACTCCGCCTTGGGTGTTGGACCCAGCAGACCCATATCCGACGATCAGTCATCGTCAAGATCCAGCTTCATGGTGGGAGGAAGCGGAAGTGGAAGCGGTGGAATTAGCTGTCAGGACTGTGGGAACCAAGCTAAAAAGGATTGCCCTCACATGCGGTGCAGAACATGCTGCAAGAGCCGGGGCTTCGATTGCCAGACCCATGTCAAGAGCACATGGGTCCCCGCTTCACGCCGCCGCGAGAGACAGCAGCAACTCTCTGCGTTGCAACAAAACATGGAAACTTCTGGAGACCTTCCCAGAAGGCAGAGAGAAAGAGATCATAATAACCCCACTTCCTCTTCTCCTCTTGCTTGCACTCGCTTGCCTTCCAATCCCTCCTCTTCAGGTATATACCACTGCATATCACTATTGTCTTTGCTCTATACTTATTGAATACATTTTCGTCATCATGTTTTACTTCGTCTCGTCTTGTCACACTGCTACATGCGCTACCACAAGCACCTCACAGTTTGGGTGATTGACTCCTGAGAGAGAGAGTAAAGAAAAGGAAAGCAAAGAAAGGAAACGTGTATGTGTTACGAAAGAAAAGAATAACGGAGAGACCCGTCCAGGAAAATTCTCTGAAAAGATATATGCAGCGACTGAGAAAGTTTTAGAAGCATACATCCAAACAAGGACGGTATCGATTGCGTGTGTGAAGCAAAATTTCTCTTTTTCTCGCCTTTTTCTTTACCGCAACACTGTTATTTTAGTAGCCCTGACCTGACGATTAGATTGACAGTGAAGAAGAACCTGTTCTCACTCTCTCTCTTACTCTCTTTCTCTCTGAGCGACTGACTGTACTCCTTCTTTCTTTGCTAACACTCACTGGCGCATACCAACACAACACTACACATTCATTTTCAGCTTCGCTCTTTCTATCATATGTATTTGTCTCAGTATCTTTACTTAGATTCTATTTCCTTTGTTAACTCTCACAAACATAATTCATCTACTTCTAAAGTGCATCTAACCACTGACTTGTTTTGTTTTGTTTTCACTTTCTCTCTCTACACATTTTACCCTATAAAAAAAGGGTTAGAGGAGGTGAATTTCCCGGCGGTGGTGAGATCTTCTGCGGAGTTCAGGTGCGTACGTGTGAGCTCGATAGATGAGGCGGAAGAGGAGTATGCGTACTCAACTGCTGTCAACATAGGAGGGCATGTGTTCAAAGGGATTTTATATGACTATGGTCCGGAAGGTAACAGTAACTTCTTGGGTGGTGCTGGGGAAAGCTCGTCCACTGGTGTTGGAGGTTTGAACCTCACTACTGGTGCCGTTGTCTCAGAGCCACTCCTTGATCCTTCTTCTTCCTTGTATCCAGCTCCTCTTAACACCTTCATGCCTGGTAGTGGTACGCAATTCTTCCCTCACCCACGATCTTGAACAAACAAAAGCCAAAACAAAGCAAACAAACAGAATTTTTATGTTGTTTTTATGTTTTAATTTACTGCATCTTCACTCGCCAACTTCGGTTTTTTAACTATTTATGATCATCTTGTAGTCTGAAATTGATGCTCATTCATTCCAATAGGCTGAGAATGAGAAAAAAAAGTGAAAAGAAAAGAAAATGCAGACCTGTCACGTTTTGTTTTTTATGCAAATGCAAATCATCAATGCTTAATTAGTCTGATAATGTATCATTCTTGGTAATTAAGGATATACAAATAGTTAGCTAATGATATTTCATTTGTTTCCTTTTCTGTACGATATTAATGGACACCTGGTTCTAATATTGGGTTCTTTCGCGTCTTCGTGTATTTTTGTGATGGTTTTAGGGGTTGATTCTTGCCTTCGTTTGTTGAATTATATCACGCTGTCTGGTTTGTTCTCAACTACGAAGCTGCCTTTTCCCTGTTTATCCGTATGCTTGCCAGTTTGAAACTGAACCGGAAACACAATTTTGATCTTGGTTTGGACTAATTCTCCAGGGTGGTTTCGACAAAAAAAAAATTTCATCTTTTCTTTTAAAATTAATTTTTCATTTTTGGGTATGGGCGTTCCAACCATGCATGAGCATTTCTCTCCCTCTTTCCCATGCGATGCTGTAATTCTAACATCCTACTCAATCTAAATTTGCACAGATGTGACGTTGATTACAGAAGAGGAAATATTGCTAATCAATATTCTCATCTTTAATGCACATGCAGCAACTATACGTATATAGGCTAACACTCCATTCTATGTCTAATGAGTATAGCTTATGGTATAAAACAAATTGTTGCTTGATCCAAAAACGCTAAAATATGTAAAACAAAGGGAAAGGTTAAGATGTCAGCATAATTTGAAAACTTGTGATGCTACATGCTCTCTCTATCTCGTTACTGGCAACCCCTGTACTCTCTGATCAGTGTCATGTAATTCAGTTCTCCATGAGATGTCTGCTAATGTCTTATAATTACATATTACAACAAAATAACCCGTAGATAATAACTACCCTATTATAGATAGTCAACTTTTTCTGATGTGAGTCACGCAATGTGTTCTTATTTTATATACTGTTTAATCTTATTTAACATGATTTTTATTTTAATAGTTGATATAGGACAGATATGGCAGAAAAATGAAGGTAGAGAAAAATACTAAATTCCATTTATTTATTCTGTATTTTGTTTAATGTTTTTAAACAACATTTTTTACACAACAAGAAAAATACTAACATCCCTATGTCTTTATTGTGCATTTTATTTAATGTTTTTAAACATTAAAACAACCTTTTATTCTAATAATTAATATATTTTCAATAGAATTTTTTACATCTATTTGATGAAAATATTTCACATTCCATATGGCTTGATTTTTGAGTTGTGTAATGTGCTTCATTTCCTACTCCCAAAACATATATGCATATATGTAACACAAACCATGAGTTGTTGCAATTCACCTTCTTTTCTCTATGTCAACACTCCTTACGTCTGCAATATTCACCTGCCCATTTACACCCTTTGTAATGGAGTTTTTCATGGATTTTCGAATATTAGCATCTTACCATAAAGTTTTATCTGAAATATTGAAGACATGAAAATATAATTAATTTTGTATGAATGCATCATTAATGTGGGCAACGATAATAGAGACATTTGTTATAAAAATGTCACTTATGAGGAAGGAATAATGCATGAAGGTGTTGCAATCTGACATACTTCTGATCTTCCTGATTCTTTTAGTTTGTCTCTGGTTTCTGAAAAGCTTTTCTGTTAGGATTTGACTACTTATGGTTTATAAGTTTAATATCTGGTGGACTTGACACTTCATTGATCATAATGGTTAGTCGTTAGTCTTCCCTAGCATATGAAGTTTGGAGTTTATATTAAAGTGTTCAAAATCTACGCCATTATGCTAATATTATTTCTTGTACTTAAAGCTGTTCTGATTTTGAGTTTTAGTTTCATATTTGGTTGGTCAAGGTTCACGGATTTGTCAGAACTTTTTGTTTTTATCTATGAACTTAGCCGTGTGGAATTATCTGTATGTATTTTGTGTTTGTGTATTAAAAAGGTTAACTAACGAACCAAGGTTCTATCTGTTAAGTATTTTCTTATCATGTTATTTAATTGTTTAAGATGTAAAAAGTAAAAATATTAAAAGTATGTTACCATCATAAGTGTGTTTACTTTGAAGGACAGTGTTAGAATTTATTAATACATGCGATACAATAAATAATCAATACATTGAACAAGTACAGTAGACTTTATTGATGCTGTGGTTTAAGCACTTTTTTTTACTAATACAATCCCAACATAACTTACTATTTCATTTAGTAATTAGAGTACGGAACTTATATGGTTGTAAAAAAAAAATTTCCAGAACCTCTCTTCTCTTCTTTGTACACCGGGTTTTACATTGTCTATGTACCATTTTTCTTTGTATGAACTTGTGTTTGAACCCTATCCTTAATCTAACTAAATACTAGTAGTCATGTCAGCTACTATGGAATTAATTTTTTTGTAAAAGTATTATACAACTACATCTATGAAAGTAAGATCCATACTTACGTATGGTAATTACAATTACTAAGTATTGTCATTTCCTTAAGTGTTGTAATTACAATTACCTCTAAGGAAATTCTCCCAAAAGTTTATTTTACCGCTTTGGTTGCCATGCAGCTCATTGTTCACTACCACAACAGTGTTTTAGATATTCTGGATAATCCTCGGAATGTTTTTAATAGGTAATAAATTATCAAACTAAAAATGTAAAAATCATAAACACCACAATTAACTGTGGCATTCGTCTTCACAGTATATGTTGGTGTCGTTTCCTAATTTTCATGCTACTATTTGAATGAATCCTGTGAAGTACAGGATTAGTGCCAGTAAATAATGTTTAATAATTTTTAAAAAATGCATAACTAATTAATATATTTATTGTCTGCAACCAGATAAATAAGTACAAACTTCTGTTTTGATATTAAATTTTGACATAACTGTGTATTGAGCAGTAGAAAAGCACGCATGCATTGGTTCTTATGGTGTTTGTTGTTACCAGTTTTTTTCATCAGAAAAATAAAATTAATGCAGATGCAAAAATGAAGAGTAACTAAATAAGAATTTGTGGATTTTATCATTTGACATTTCTAACATACTCATACCACTTTACCAATTGATAGTGCGGAACTGATCTCTATGATCTCCGCTTTACGATTTTGCTTCTTTCTTGGATTCGTATTCTTTTTCATGCAAAAAAGAGTTCAATAGCGAAGTGGACTTTGCCAGTGCCAACTTGAAAGCAAAGGAATAAAACTCAAATGGGTTCGTTGATGAATCTTGGGGTCGATATTAGCTTTCAACTGTATCCATTACTTTCATTAATAAATTATTTTAATTTGTAGCTCTTGGTTAGCCCTAGCAGATTCTTCTCTATTAAAAATAAAAAATAAAAAATAAAATAAAATAAAAAGGTTGTTTCTATCTATGATACATACAGTAATCATACAAGTTTGTTTAAACATATATAAAGGAAAAAAGCTATTAAAGCTGACATTTGAGGGAATGATAGGATATACACACCTTGATTTGATAGGTAGGCTGTGAAATAGTCCCAGGATTTGAAAAGTGTAATGAAAAAACTTGAGGGTTGCGAGAAGAAACATAAGCTAAAACTGAACTTGGTTGTAGGCACGGTGTTGTGTACTGGTGCTATGAATGCCTGTTTTCCAGAAGTATATATATTTTGTGAAATGGTCAAAAGGTTGTGCAAAGAGATGGCACACTACTGGCATTGAGCAGTTTGAAATGGACTACACAGTTCACGTGTCGATAATAATTGTAGTATAATTGAAGTAAGGCGTCTGAGGAGATCTAAGCAATTGGAAGTGTGATTTGATATTTGTAAAGCAGGACCAAAGCACCCAAATCTAATGAAAGACTAGGGCTTCTTGCAGAATAATGGATGGGTTATGTTTTCGTACTGCTTCAGCGGCAGCATGGCAGTAGCATAGGGTGAGGCAGAGGCATAGGAGCCTAGTGTGCACCATAATGGAATGGTGGTCTCAGCACTGTACATAGCAGTTTCGGTGGTCCCACCAAGACTTGTGCTTCGTGGTTAGGGATGACTCATGCAGCTATATCTCTTGTTCTTCAAATGTTTGCCATGTCCCTTGGACCAAGAAAATCTCAAACGAAGCATGTGTTGTTCTTACAACCATGGGGGGACGATGAGTAGGCTTGATGATGAGCTTGTAACAGTGTGTAAGAAAGAAAGGTTGCTATTAATTTGTTTTGATGAATTGGGTACAGTTGTCAATGCTAGAATGAGTGATTGCTTTGATCATGTGCTTCTGTTGTCATCTTTCTGCAGAATTCTTAAGTGTGTTCATTTCATGGGTGGGGAACGATACAAAATTACATACAATCCAACACAAGTACCAACCTACTTCATAATATATGTCTTCTATTCATTTATCAGTGTATTGCCATTCATACAATTTGGATTTATTCATGCATACATTTATCCAATATTAGTTTTTTTTCACATATTTTCAACCTTTACTTAACCCATATTAAATATCTAATGTTATTCAATAATTAATAACAAAGACAAAAGAAAAGGGGAGGGGGGATAGGTTTAGACATAACATGATCTGATAAAAGTACAAAAAAAAAATAGAAAGATATTTACAGAGAGAGAGAGAGAGTTAAAAAAAATAAAATAAATGTACTATTTTTTCTCTTTTTAAAATTAAATATAAGAAATGCATTTCCTTTGAATTATTGGATTTATTCCCGTGCAATAAGTTTTTTATTAAGTTAATTAAACTTTTATTTTTGAGAAAGAAATCATACTAGATACTATAACTTGACATATATTGAATTCACCCAATCATAGTTGAGCTATGTCTTTGACGTTAGGTGACACCATATTTGATTCCAAAGTAGATATAAGTTCTCGTGATCTTCTTGTCAATTCTATCTACCTGACCAAACAATAGTGAATTGGGATACTTAGCATGAGTTCCAAATTTGTTGCTATCACCAAATCCTGATATCACTCACTCGGGTATCCCTACTTTAACCGTTAAAATCACGTAATCACCCAAGGTCACTATGATAAATCATTATATAAATATAAACCATATCCATTTCACTCGAGTAACATAATCATTATATGAGTGAAAACTTTACCCATGATCAATAACCTCCAAAATATCTCCTTAATCCAATGACCTCTTTGTGGTTCTAGTGTTACAGTCTCGCTTGAGTGGTATTCATTTATTTGGAAATATAATAAGTTCTATAAACACCTTCACCAGGTCACAAACTACCACATGCAGTGATACCTGTAGACAGTCTCATCTCTCCCTCAAACATTTTGAAACAATGTTTGAGCCATTAGCCTTATTATCAGAGCATCATACTCAATACTTGAGTAACATGGTTTCAAAGAAGAGATAATTGTTTTACCTTATTCCAATCTTCAAGTCTCATATTTTTTACCTTTCCATACATGTGATATACTATCACATTACAACAACATGCTTAACAACCAACAGGTTGTATAAACATATTTAGTTTCTCTATTGAAGCATGCTCATCATCAACCAACACTTGGTAATCTTTGCTAAAACTTTGAAGCATGGTCATCATCAATCAAGACTTGGTAATCTTTGCTAAAACTTTATAATTAATCAAGAAAAGCTCGCGCACGATCCTACTACAATCATAATATATGATCTTGTTGTGATTTTGATCATAGAATTATGGACAAGAGCAAGTGGCTCAAATGTTTTTATGATTGAAATTGAATCCCTTTTTACTTAGAAGAGAAAAATCCGCTTGTAAAAGACTGTAAGACGTTCAAGTTAGTAAGAAAAATTGAGTATTTCTTATAAAATACTAAATGTATTTATATAATCAATATGCAATGTGAATCCCTATTATCATAGAATAATACTTACAATAAATATATAATAATAAAATAGTTAATAATAATATAATAATACCTTATCATAAGTAATAACCATAATATTAAAGATTAATTATAATGTATGAATATTATTTCAATACAAATCAAATAAGATGAATATTTTTCTTAAACTATTTATTTAAGAAGAGAAAAAGATAATTTAGAATAACAATAGATATAATAAATTTTTTTACACCCACTACACAAGACTCTAAATTAGTTAGGAAGCCACAGTCAAAATCATATTGTGGTAAATGTAAAAATGAAAGTAAAATTGTCTAGAACTAAACATTATAAAATGAATTTTAAAAGATTTGTCTACCTTTTATTTATTAACATGTAACTAATTTATTTTAAATTTATTAATAAAATAATATTTTATTTTTATATAAACTATACAAATAATATAATACAAACTTCTCTATACTATTTTATAAATTAAAATTAGTTTGTTTATAAATTAATTTTATAAAAATTCTCTTATATAATTTGTACAGTTCAAATTATTTTATCAATTTTAAAATAATTTGTAAAATTCTTCTATGTAATTCTTATTTTCAACCTTAATATAAGTTATTTTTGTTTTATAAAAAATATTTTATTTATTTATTTGTTTTTAGAAAAATTCTGAAAAGAATTGTTCAAATGGCCTTGTGATGTAGTTTATGGTTCTAATGGTTTCTTGTTTACATAATTAATTTTGTTTGATTAAAATAGTCAACATCTTCTTTAAAATTATCCAATAACAAAATGAATTAGGATAGTTTCTGCAGTCAGTGTATTATTGTGCTAATATCACTGACATGATTTTTTTTTACGAATATGTAAAGTTATCTATCCAAGTATAATAGCACATATAACAAAATAAAAAATTAATTACTCCATATAGTCTTTGGATAAGGCAATGGGGACAGAAGCAAGTTTAAAATACTAACATTTTTATAAGAATTTCATTTTCATTAGAAGAATCCATTTGTACATTGGAAGAATCCAAATACTCTGTCCCATCTCATTCACTAAGAATGGTATATGTTTATGATTAAAAAATAATAATTAACCTCGATAAGCTACTACTTATTTAGTTTTAAAAATCCTAGCCATTTATTAGTTTAATTCTTTTAAAAAATTGCCTACATTAATCATAAATATGGTCAAACTAAAACACTTATTATCAAACTTATTAGTTTTATATATTTTAGCCTTTTTATAAATTTGTACTTTTTAGTATATACTAATTAAATTAGGAACCATTTTTTAGTATATCAAAATAATAATAAATTAAACTACAATTAAATTCAATATACTAATTTAAAACAGGATAAATACTGTACAGAAGCCCCTTTTTTTGTGAAAGGAATTAGGAGTTGTTGTGTTATCTATTCAAATTTCCTTACTCACAAGGGTTTAACTCTAATATCCTACTCTATATTATTTTAAGGATATATATATATATATATATATATATATATATATATATATATATATATAAAATAGTTTTTTATATTCATTTAATATTATTTTCTAGAAAAATATATACAGATTTACTTTTTATGATCATTTTATTTTTTCTACGCCAAAAAAATATAAATACATGATTTTATCATTATACACTCTTCATCTTTATCTTATTAAACAAATTTTTCTATCTACTTTTTATAACCATAAGAAGAGTTTTATCATTCATAATAACTTGATTTGATTTGAAGTAAATTATTCTCAACAAAGAGAAATATATATAAGAAAAGTAAATTATGAGCTGTCCATAAGTATATATGGCACCGAGTGATAGACATGTAAAGAAAAGAATTAAAATGAACAAGAATTGGAAATTACTAGAAAGAAGAGGATGATAGAAAAATATATAGTTTTTGACAGATACATATTCTTTTTGAGAGTTGATGATAAAGTATTATTTTACTGAAAAGATAAGAACTTAAAATGCGAATAAGACATGAATGGATGAAGAATGGAAGCAGGAAGATGTCTACTTTTGGCTGATCAACTGAAGTTTGGCTCAGTAGTCAGCCTTCTCTCAACAAAACTGACAGTAAATAATGTCATTGGTGTGTGGCGTAAATAAAATCAGTATCATAAATAAACATAAAGCGAAAGGAGACAAATAACTATAATACTTGTCTTTGTCTCTCAGTATGCATCATGCACACCTACAAATACTACATAAAAGCTTCCTGTAACAAACACCTCCAATGTAATTAGTTATACAGTCTACATCATTTCTTTTCAGATCAATGCTACACTTTTTTATAAATCTTTTTGCATATTTTATTCAAAAAGTATTCAATCAAAATCAAATATACTTTTAAAACTCACATACTACGTACGTCTATGTGTTTACCTTTTTCTAACATAAAAAACTAATAAAACTATAATTATTAAAATAAATATAAATAACTTTTATAATTTAATTATACATATTTTTCTTTATTTATTAAATCATTTTATTTATTTAATTTTAAAAAATAGTTAAATTTAAAAAGAAATAGTTAAATTTTCAAAATCAATTAAATTTAAATAAATTAGTAACTTGAAGAGTAAAAGAAAAAAGTAAATACCAAAAAATGAAATACTCTTTATATATAAACATACGTACATGCATCTAGTAAAGTGAATCTTTATAGATAAACATACATACATGCATCTAGTAAAATCATATATAAACTTTTCTATCTATTTCCCACTCTTTGGTTGCCAATTAGCATATGCCACTATAGGTAGAGTTTAGCTAATTGATGAATAATTTGTAATTCTTTTTA